AACGGATGCACGATACAGAATGATCTCATTGTTGATAGATATGTCGCGTCGGATCTATAGGCGCTTTTAATAGATTGAGAAAACTCGGAAAACAGTCTCGAGACAATGTGTTCCTTTCTATATACACTCGAAAGCGACCTCACGCCGAGATATTCGAAACTGTCTAATTCTTCGAGTTTGTAGCCATTAATCTCGAAAGGTGCCCTCTCCTAGTCAGGAATGCAGCTCAAGAAGACTTTGGTCTTCCCAGCGTTTATGGATGAGCAGACCGGAGTAGCGATCTTATTCACTCATGACAACACAAACCGCAGATCACCAGCGCTTGCGGTTAGTAAAGCGATATCGTCAGCGTAGTCTACGTCAATCAGCAGGCATATAGGCAGAAACTTCACACCGTAAAAACCGTGAAGGAACCTTCCGACATTCCAGTCAATAGCGTAATTGAGCAGAATGGGCGACGGGATGAATCTGTGTTGAACGCTAGACGAAATATTGAGTGGTTGAGAAGATAACTCGCGTAGTGGTGGAAGATAGAAGGCCTCCATAATGGCAATGATGTTGGCCGGCACATTATTATACTCCACAGGGATTCATGACTAACGGAACAGAATACGGTGGCAGTCAGCAGAGTAGACGGCCATTGGTTGTTAGTAGTCTTGGAGGAATTCCCGAATGCGTCTGTGTAAATATTTGGTCGCCGCATCAACGTCCAGCTCGGAATCCGCTTTGATTGGGCCTGGCCCCATAGCCACACGCAGAATGGAATCGTTTGAGAAGGGCAATAGTGAAGACCTTCGCAGCAACGTCACTGAGGCTTGTGCCGCAATAGTTCTCGTATCTCGTCTTCTCTCCCCTTCTTAAGGACACGTTCATGAATGCCATAGCCAACGTTCGTTATTGAAGTCCTCAGTCCGAGAGGAATTTTTGACTTACCCAGTGACGCCGGAGAAAATTGAACAACACAAAGATCGCACAGCTTCGGCTAGGTCCCACGACGATGACTCCCTAAAGTCTGGAAAAATTGTGGTGAATACGGCTGCATAAGAGCGCAAAATCTATTGATCCTACACGCCTACCTACATTGAGCAGGTCCCAAGCGTCAGCGGACCTTGAAAACTCGAGCAAATTATCGTAAAAAGGATTATAGACCCCATGCACTGAGTGACTGCTCATGACTTACGTGGCAACTGTGCTGAAAGTTCGGCCAAGATCGAGTGCCATTGTGAGCACTCCGAACACCTCACCCACCGACCTGCAACTGTATGTTACTCATCTTTAGCTTTTATAGTGCCGTCTGATCTTCGTCTAAGCTGTAAATTTTCCACGAAATGCAAAGACTGCACCAAAACAGAACAGCATTCCACTCAGGTATACGAAATTTGTGTCGGCACTGGCGTCCTGGCTCAGTAAGGTGACTAAGCAATTTTTGGAAGGTTAAGTCATTCCTGATGAGTGTTACTCAAGCATCTTCGTATGGTCTTAGAGAATAGAAATAATGTAAATTGCGAGAACCACTGCAATGGTCTTAAACAGCGTCCATTTGGGGCGACTTCAGAATGCGTGTGACTCGAGAATATGACCCAATCAGGCATCTCGTCTCTCCCTGAACCTATTTCCCCGCCTACCGCCGCTCATTACACGTTTGTCAACTTGAGTCTTCTTCATGAATTTCGACTTCTGGTCTGCGACTCTACAATGTTCTGTGGTTTATTTTATCGGGCACTTTTCGTACCAGGTCTTCCGTCGTGAATGGATGGCTTTAGCTGCCTCGTTCATAGCCATCTCCCTTTACGTTTCTGCTAACTATTCCAGTTTCTAACTTGCTGTCTATGTATGTGCGGACCCTAGCAGAAGAGATACTAGGTTTAAAAAGTTCTGTTATGCAATGGGATTTCGAGAAGATACACGCAATGGTTCGACCTACCTTATACACGGCCCTACGTATGACAAAAGGACGTGTCGCTGTACAATATTTGTTGGGAAAGAAGCTCGTGGTTTTGGAATAACGTCTATTGTATTTTTTTTTTATAGGGAAAGATAACACAGATTCAAGTCCTAAAGATTTCAATTCTCGATATATCAAGTTAGTAAACAAGAACAGTTTTGATAGACATACGATTCTTAGTAGATAATGTGTTCAGCGAGAGTTTATTGAGAAATGATAGGAAAAAATAAAAATGTAGCAAGAAACTACATGGAAAACCTGGTTGCTCGGGAGGATGGGTTGAAATTTAGTTTGAATTCCAGTATTAGCCAACGGTAAGGGTTAGTTAGGATGAAATGTGTTGCAATTAGGGGATTGGTGTTGGTGTGTCGCATTTAGTGACGGTTTTCGCGGAAAAGTATCCAGAGCAAGGAAAGAGCTCTCCTTGGGCTGACATCCAGGCTTGAGGTATGGGATTATGACACAGGACAAAATCGTCAATGTCGTGAGTGCCGCCCACTGAGCGGCGGTCGAAATCGGGTTTTTGTGGGGAAATGCCGTACCAATTGAGTTGTACACGCCATCGATAGTCTTGTGAACCTAAGAGGCACAGTCAGTACTTACTTACTTACTTACAGTAGTGCTAATGGGATCGGGACTATGTAAAAGGTCTCGGAGCCTCACTGCGACGTATTTTTATCCGCAGGCTGAAATCGGAGCTTTCACTGGGAAATTGGTAACCGTGAGTGGCACTGGTGCATGAGGAGAAAGCAGGGGATATAAAATACGCATATGGCCCAAGGTCGATAGGAGAACGGAAGAGCGGATATGGAACTACCAGAAGCGTGTGTTTACAGTTACAACCGTTAAACGCTAGTCAAAATGACAGAATTCCGTGTGGGACCTGTTAGGACTAGTTCAATCAAAAACATTGGGACTGTCTA